CACTTCTGGTTGGGCTTAAAGCCTAGAATTGGGACAGTCTTGCCTCTATCAGACTAGAGGTTCCAGCACTAACAGTTCAAAGCACTCTAGACATTGTTTAAGGCACTCCTCTTTGTGTAAAGTGTCCCTGTTTAAAATTGAACTTAAGACTTGTAACTTAAAAACTCGTAAGTTACAAACACAAATTAAACAGAATATTTAGCTAGTCTGATTTATCATTCCATATCTTTTTATTGCCTATTACTATAAGTACAATTACAACTCCTACAATTATTTTAATACAGTAAGTTCCTGAAAGACTCTGAACTGGCATCTTTACACACTTACATCTCCTTGACTTACGAGTGTTCAGTATTTGGCCTTGGCCAAATATATCCACTCTCTCTCAAAGAATAAAAAAACCTAAAAGTTTTCAAAGTAGTAACTAAAAAAGAATAACTTCTCTAAAGTTAAAATGAAACTCAAACTTGGCTATTACTATCCCTCCATGAAAATATGGAAGAAAACGGATGTTTTCTCCATTATATAACAGCATGTTAAAGTGAGAAAGGAGTTTGCTGAAACCATTATTATAGGAAATATAATCTTCAGTGTCATAAGACAGGAAAAATAATTTTTTGTTCCCATTAATAATAAAGGTTGAAGTATACATATTCCGAAGAGGACAGAAGAACTGAAGCATGCATACAAATGACTTATCTCCTTAAAATCCAATACTTCAAACAACAGCTGCCCACATTTTTCAAAAATTACAATCCCGAGCAGTAGGAAGTAACTAAAGTCATTGCATGTTCACTCTACTTTCATCAAACTGATACTTGTTAGGCACCACAAGTTCTCAAACTATAAACTTACAGATGCTGTCTTTATCAAAATCTTATTTGTCAAGTCGATTTTAACTCTGATACTCTGCACTATGCACTTCTGTCAGTGTATGCACAGTAATGCTAGTGAGTATCAGAGTTATGTGTTCCACATACACCCTGTGGTTATACAACAGTAACCCTGTGAATTTAAACACATCATCGTTTAACACAACCTCAATTTTTTAGCATTCTGGAAATCTGAATTTTCATTAGTCCAAGATGGATTTTTTCCCTTGCTTTCTTATGAGAAACAACAATAAAAAATATATCCAGAAGCAAGCCACTTTGCGCTTCTAATAACACCCAATATAGATGCAAGAACACACTTTTTTTTTTACCTAGCCGTTACCTTTAAGTTGAAGTCTAATACAATTAGATAAAATTTTCATAAACAGATTTTCTGTAACAGTATGTTTAACAGGTTAGGGGAATACCTCAATATTTTTACTGGCAACATTCTTCACAACAGCAGGAAACAGCTCAGAAGCATTTTTTCCCTTTGCAATCATCTAAAAAAAAAAAAAAAAAGAAGAGGCAAATCTTAGTAACATAACAATATAATTTATTAAAATATGGTTTGGGTTTTGTTGCTTTATTATAGATCTGTATTTCAAATCTTATTTCTGTGAAATTGAGAATAAACATGAGAGTTTTTGTTAATTATTAGACCTTACAGGATACAATCCATACAATAAAAACTCTTGGATGCTGGCAGGTTACGAGTTTGCTGGAGTGGAATCCATTAACTGGACTTTAACCTAAAAGACAGCAAATAATTTTCAGTGCTTTCAAAATTACTAAAAACAAAGATGTTGCTAATCTGAAGGGCCCTGCAAAATTATCTTTTGGGAGCTGGATGGGAAAAAAAAAAGGCACCCAACAGCTCTACAAAATCCAAGAAGTTATAGAAGCTTAAGTTACACAAGTTAAGGGAAAAGCTCCTTTTTCCTGGTACAATTGTGATTTGCAACCAAGAACCAAGGAGAAAAATAAAAATAAACATCACACTTTAAAAATAAAACAAGGTTTTTTTCCATGGCAAATTAAATACAGAAGGCCATAAAGTGTTTATACAGAACAAAAATCACACAAAAGCCACACAGTAAAAGCAAGATCAATCAATCCATCAACTTCTTTTTTGAAGGAAGTTTTCATGTTTGATCATGAACAAGGCATGTCACAAATAATAAAGTTCGCAATAAAAATCATAAACATCAAAGCCCCAGTTTAGTTTTAGTTCTTGTACAAACAGCTTACAAAGGAAGTTACTTGTAGGAAACCTGGTACAAAAGAAGGAATAAAATACTTTCATACACACTATAGCTGCACAACATTCTGCTTAGATATAATTCCAGTAGAATGTCTGGCAGTACTTTATGTCTAAACTGAAAACCCTGGAATTTCAGGATCATGTTACATCAAGCTGCTTTAAGTTCAGTGCTGCTGAATACAGACCCAGAGCACTCCTATCTCTAAGAATCTGTGTGTCTTGCTCAAGGTCAAGATTCAGCCAGCCAAACACCAAGTTCATCAGAAAACAAAAAATCTCACTAAGGAATCATAGAATAGTGATCTTTAGAAGTCATCTAGTCCTGCAGTAAGCAGGAACATCTTCAAGATGTTCACAGATCAGGTTGCTCAAAGCCCAGTCACTGAATGTTTCCAAGGATGGGGTATTCACCCTCTCTCTAGGCAATCTGTCCCAGTGTTTCACCACCATCATTGTAGAATCTTCTTCCCTATACAGAATCTAAATCAATTGTCTTTTAGTTTAAAACCACCCCCCTCATCCAGTCATAGCAGGCCATACTGGAAAGTCCCTCTCCAGCTTTTTTGTAGACCTCTTTACATGCTGGAAGGTGCTATAATGCCTCCCCATCGCCTTCTCTTCTCCAGGCTGAATGAAACCAACTCTCTCAGCCTGTCCTCACAGGAGAGGTGCTCCAGCCCCCAGATCCTTTATGTGGCCTGCTCTGGACCTGCTCTAACGTGTCTGTTTTTCCCGTCCTGGGGACTGCAGAACTGTATGCAGTTCCTCAGGTTGGGACTCTGGTACAAGAGTGGAGTAAAGGTGCATAATCATCTTTCTGAGCCTGTTGATCACACTTTCTGCGCTATTAGTGAACGCTGTCAGCTCACAACACCATTTCGTCTACCAGTATGCTGAAGTCCTTCTTGTCAGAGCTGCTCTTGATCCCTTCATCCACCAGCCTGTGCTGATACTGAGGGCTTCCGGGGCCCAAGGGCCAGACCTTGTACTTGGCCTTGTTGAACCCCATGATATTGCCATAGGTCTACATCATAAGTTTGTCCAGATCCCTCTGGATGGCATCCCATCCCTCATGCATGTCAACTGCACCACTCAGTTTTGTGTTCCCTGCAGATGTGGTGAAGGTAAACTCATTCTCACCATCAATGTCATTATCCTCATTAATGAAGATATCGAATAGTATTGGTCCCAGTACAGATCCCTGAGGGACACCTCTTGTCACCAAAGTCCATTGGGGTCCAACATACATAAGCAACAACAAACACAGTGATTCAACAAACAAACAAGAGTTCTGCAGCTACAGCTACTCTTATCCATAATCATGACATTCCAACTATTACTCAGCATTTTACAGCTGATTAAACTTAATATTCTCAGATCACAGATCTGTTTGTGGATTTCATTGATAAAACACATTAAAAGCATAAAGGGTTAGGATCTCAAGCAACAAAAGCAAGAACACACAAAGCTAGGCAATATTCTGAGAAGCTTAGAAGAAGGATGTTGGGAAGAAGAAGGAAGCTGTAGTTCAAGGTATTACTCAGTCTTTCAAAAGGGTGTAAGAGCAGCTGTCCAGCATGACATTTTGATCTAACCCATTTAACATCATAAATTGTTTATTGCACCTGTATTAAAGCACAGGAAGTGACACAAGCACTGTGAAAAAGCAAGCACATTAAACGAATTTCAAAGAGTTTTTAACTAAGAATCTAAAATCAATTTACTACTTTCAGGACGTGGGGGTCCCCACAATAAATGCCAAATTCAGAATGACAGGGTAGAACTGAGCAACAAGATGCATTGCAGAGAAGTAAGACAGAATGAAAAATTATCATCTTATCTTGGTGCAACAAAAGTTACGTTACGCAAAAACAGGGATAATCCTCAGACCTCCCTGACAGACTGTAATGGTATGACTCTATGCATTACTGGGATTATTTAACTGATCTACCGTAACAGCTTCAGTGTACCATGCAAATATGTATTTAGGGTCTTTTAAAAGAGTGTATTTTGATTCATTATTGCATAACGATTCGTGTAGATCCTCCTTAGCTAATGGATCAATAACCTGAAAGAACATAATGGTTCTTTCCAAGACTGAAGTCTATCAGGTCATTTTTGTTGCTGTGCCTAGACATTCTCCATTTGTGTTGTCTTATACACCTGGAGTTTCTGCACAAAAGCTTTCATTCTAGCATAAGTGCAGTGTAATGTCAAGATGTACTAACTCTTTTTCCATGTGAGAGACACACAGACATGGATGATATTCTCTGAGGGAAATCAGGCAAGTGATTGTTTCCTAAACACATGCTCTGAAATCTTCAGGAGAAATTCCACTGATTTTTCCCTAGAAATTCAATCAGGTTTCAAGATCTGATACTGGTTGTGAATATTTTAAAAGAAATATAAGCTTTGTTTCATGCATATAGTAGAATATGTATACATAAAAATTTATTTCCAAACTAGCAGTGTTGTTCATATTCTTCCAAAGACTGCAATTATTTTATTGCATGCATATAAGGAAGAAACATACAAAATAACATACTGATTAAAAAAAAAAAAGTAATTGATCATGAAAGTCATATTTTAGCTGAAAGTAAGCTTAGGTGCCTTCATGCATAAGGGAGAAGTGAAAAGATCAAAACTGGACTACTCCTATGCTTGAAATGATATTGTTTTAAGTCACTCTCTGGAAGACAGATTTGTAAGGAATCTCCTTCTCCCTAGTAGAAATTTCATAAACTACCTTAAAGGAGGAAGCAGCCACAAAAAGTGCCATAACCAGTATTCTCCTGCTACTTCTCCATCACGCCTATATGAATAACTGAAGTTTTAGCCTCTTAAAGTCTACTAAAATATTAAGCTAACTCTTAGTATCATAGAATTATAGTCACACAGAACAGTTTAGGTTGGCAGGGACCTCTTCTGTGGTTAGGGACACCTTACTGAGCAACACCCCTGTGAGGACAGGCTGAGAGAGTTGGAGTTGTTCAGCCTAGAGAGAAAAGGCTCTGAGGAGACCTTATAGCACCTTCCAGTATGTAAAGGTGGCTAAAAGAGAGCTGGAGAGGGACTTCTATAAAGGCATGTAATGACAGCATAAGGGATAACAGCTTTAAGCTGACAGTGGGTAGGTTTACACTAGATGTTAGGAAAAAATCGTTGTGAGGGTGGTGAGGCAGTAGAACGGTTTGGTCATAGAAGTTGTGGATTCTGTATGTATAGTTTTTTCAACTACCTGAAACTTTGAAAATAAGCGTTCCAGAGAGACACGTTAAACAATACTCTGAAAACAAAGTTCCTTTTTCTTCTAATAATAAGGCTAGAGGAAGCCTTTCATCTCTGAAAAACACATCTCATTCCTGAGAGATGTAAGTTCCTCTCTGTATGTAAGCACAGAAGCACTTTTGTACTCCACAAGAACATTATTAACCACTGTTACAAGGCCTCATGCTCATGTTGCGCAATGTCCCAGTCCTGACCTGTAAAGCTCAGTTTGAGTTTGTTATGCCAACCAGAGGTTCTTGCCAGGTATCTGGTGTGAAACACACTTTAAACATAGCACAGGAAACAGCAAATACCTTGAAGATATGAAAGAAACTGAAAACAGAGGATCCAGTAAATCAAATAACTCACTTGTGGTGAATTTATGGTCAGCCTTACAAGCTAGAAGGCTGTTTCTGCTTTAAGCAGCAGGGCTGAGCAATGGAAAAATATCAAAAAATCAGAAGGTGCCCACTGCCATTTGGGGAAGGTGTGCTCTTCCTGAAGTGCACAGTGCTTAGAACAGGAAGAGAAACTACGGACCACGAACTTTTCAAAGGACAGAAATCTGGTACTGGAAACTGGAAAGAAATGTCAGAATTGTAAAATGGGAAGCAGAAGAGAGAATGTGCCCAACCAGCTCTGCCTTCCCTTGCTGAAGACTACTTGAGCCTGACCACTTCAGCCTAAGTCCATCAAGGATCACAGTTATCACTGCTAACTACACATCTCCAGCTTCATGTTACCACATGCTTCCAGAAAATTAAAGAAGGCATTAAGGACTCTTCCGAAAGTTCAGCAGCAGCAGATATTTAAAATTAGTGAGTTTGCTCATTGCACACCCATTTGTAATGACAGCATTTTTTGTACGAATAAATGAAAATTTAAAAAAACAAACCAGTGAAGTCTTGGTTTAAAATTTAAAGCTTATTCAATTTAATGTTTTCTAATTCCCCCCATATACATACATACACACCTACATTCAGTTTCAACAGTTTCCAAATACAGATAAAGATTTGGCCAGCTTTTCAAAAAAGAAAACCAAGAGAACAAGAGTCAACTTGCCACAATTCTCCTGCCCACAGTAATAACCAGAAAAAATAGATTTTTTTTCTGAGGAAAGCAGAAGAATGTAAGTTTACCATGGTACTTATAAAGGCCATGGGTTTTTTGCAATAGCATGTCTGTATGCCACACTGGTAAAACCCTTGAGCAATCTCGCATCATGTTGGAGAAGATGGATCAAAAAACCTTTCCCAAACCCAAGAAAGACATTATGAAATAACAGTTGATAGGTTACCCCGATCTCACAGGTAACTGGTGTCTCTAGCAGGACTAAGGGATTAGAAGCAAAACGACAACCATCCTGAGCAAAATTCTCATCACTGGATGATCATGAAGCGAGAAGAAGCCAGCTCTGGAGTCAGAGGAAAAAACACAATCCCATGACACCACTTGTACCTACTCACTTAGGTGCATACTTGGACAGAACTAAGTATGCAAAAACCAAGCAAAACAAAAAAGCAAATCCAAAGTAGACTGAAGAAACAATGATAGAAAACAAATCCAAAAGTCCCAAAACAAAGAAGCCAAGTGGACAATGAACAATCTTCCACAGCACATTCTTCCCATACTTCTAAGAAGAAATTAAGAGATACTATCAACTTCATGATGTTTTTTTCATAGGGTTTAAACATACAATGGTATTAAACATTATTTAATCACCTCTATGGGTACACATTCACCTGAAATACCTTATTGAATATTCAGGCATCATGCTCAATCAAAAAAGAAAAGCCTCATACAATTTAATAAAATGAAAATAATAAATGCAACTTGTCATTTTATTCCTGCAAATTTCTGTCATTTCCAATCTGACAAATTAGAAGCTTCTCTTCAGGAGCTATTTTCTACTCAAGGTCTCACTGAAAACAGTTATTTACAGGTGTATTGGCACTGTTACATAAATATTTTAAAAACATATGACTGCATATATCCAGACATACTAATTTCTACACAAAATTCCAAGTTAAGGATTTTACCATTTCACCATCACAACTCTTAAAAATCATTTAGAGACTTAAGTGCTAATCTGGTACAGGATCTGTAAAAAGAAAGCATTATTCCTATCCAAGACATGAAAATAATAATAAGCTCCCATAACCCCTAAAAAATAAAAAGAATAAGAAAAAAATCACATACCCCAACAATCCTTTTCATAGCATCCAGCTTTGCAGAATCTTTACTGCTTTCCAACATTTGTTTTAGGTCTTCATTTCTACGGTAGAAATACAGTAAAGCATCAGTTAGAAAAAATGAAAAATCAAATCAGAATACCATTTTTATATTCTCGCATCAGTTCAGCAACTTATGGCAAAGTACTGCTCCCTCTTGCCCACTTTTAAATTGTATTTACTAACACTCTGTATAATGAAGTATTTAGCAGAAGAATGTTTCAGATTCTAACAATAATGTAAGACCATTCAACTTCAATCTGCTGTTAGCTGAACCTGTCTCGAAGGCTGAAATCTTAAAGCACAAGAAGAGCTTAGTTTAAACCAACAACTCATTCACTTCTCCCTTGTCTCCCAGAAAGAGCCAGATGCAATAACTAGAAGTTGGCATGTTTGTATTAAAATACAATATCAGCTTATGTAAGTCACTGAAAAGCCCAGACTTCAGTATGCTCTGAATTTCACCAAAAATCAGGGATATAACCTTGTGCTCCTGCCTGCCTTTCTGGACTGTAAATTACTGTCCCCTACCCTCAGGATTAAAAGCCTCAGATCTTGTATGTTCTACAAGCTGTAAAACTAAGACAGCCGAATGATTAGACACATACAATGTCCAAGCACTTTTTACGACTGAAATAAAATTCTCCCACAAAAATATCAAGTTAATATGAATATTCTCTTGTAGATACTGCTTTTCATTAGCTGCCACTAATAAGCAACTTCATCCTGCTTGGCTTTTTAGATGCAAACATATCACAGTCTAACTGCACTTACAGACTACGAAAGTTTACAAAAAAGATTCTCTGAAGAAACACTTTTTTTGTAACATCTGGAGTGCCGATTTACTGAAAGATACAAGCAAATAGAAACTTGAGACGCCTGCAGTATTCCAAAGAACTCTGAAGACTTTCCAAGTTTATAAATCCTTTGAACTTCCACACAAGTGAAAGTCAACATGGTGGGTTGACCATGGCGGGACACCAGATGCCCGTGAAGCCATTCTTTCACTCCCTTCCTGAAGCAAGATGGGGATGAGAAAATAGGATGGAAAAAGCCTCATATGTCAAGATAAAGACAGATTAATAAAGCAAAATCTGCATGCAGAAGCAAAGGAAAACAAAATATTTATGCTCTACTTCATGTCAGCAAGGGGTGTCCAGCCACTTTCTCAGGAAGCAGGGCTTTAGTACACAGAACAGTTGCTCTGGAAAACCAACACCATAAGAAAGAATGTCCACTCTTCTCCATCACTTTTACTGATGACCAGCCATCATATGGTATGGAATATCTCTTGGTCTGCCTGGGCCAGGAGTCCTGGCTACACGTCCTTTCAAGGTCTTGCCCACCCCCAGGCTACTAGTGAAGGGGGATATTGGAGAAACAGTCTTGACTACTGTGTGAGCACTGCTCAGCATACCTGTAACACTGGTGTGTTACCAACACCCTTCTCACTACCAATATAAAACACAGCATAATGAAGACTGCTGCAAGGAAAAAAAATTCCATCTCAGCCAGACCAAATATACCAGACAAGACTTCAAAAGTGAATGCAGGACCTGGATATATTCCAATTTATCACTGCCCTCAGAATTTCATGTGGGAAAGAAAAGAGTGTAAGCTAAAGCTGAAATTAGTTACAATGAGACAAAACATTGTCATTAATTTGGTCCTAAGCCCTTAAACGGAATTTTTCCAACTTGCAAGGGACAGAATCACTCTAACAGAAATTTCCTCGTATTTTCAGAACCAGTACTGCATCTGCTTTGTACCTCTCCACAAGAAATCCACATTGCCCACATTTCAGTATACATCCATGTAAGAACTGCAACTAGATGGAAAAAAAAAAACCAACAAAACAATCAAGACAATTCCTACTAAACTAAGCATGTAAAATTCAGGATACCTACATGCAACTTCAATTTAAGTCTAAGACCCTTTTCAAAACCAAGTGTTTAATGAAGTAATTGGAGCAACCTATTACAGATTCCCTATACTGTCAATATTTTCTTTACTTGTCAGCTTAGTATTTAATTATTATCTTTAAAAAAAAAGAAAAAAGAACGAAGTATTCCATTTCCTTGTCTGCTGTAGTACCACTTCCCAAATATCACTGGTAACTCCCTATTTTGTCTGCCTCACTCTCAAAGATTTTTACTGTCTTTAGTTACTTTTGGACATGTTCGACGATCTGTAAGGTCAGTCTTCTATTGCTACATTTGTTTGGTTGTGTACTGTGGTCATTTAAATTATATGTCCCATTCAATTTTGTCCTGGAGTTTTACATACTGCTAATATCATCTTAGTAAGTCTATAGCTGGACACCTTCTTCATAGGAAGTGGTAACATCCAACGTACCTTCTTTCTGTAACACCACTCAAGGCTGACAGGTCTGTTAAAAATAACTAATCCTGTGATGCCACACATTTTCCTATTGTCTGCATTCCTGTTCCAGAATAAAGGCACAACTTTCTCTACATTAAGCTCTACATTTTTCTGATTTCACTCAAAGATGCTCTATTCACCTCTACATCATCACACTTCTTTTAGTCACTCCATGTTTTCCCCTCAGATCTGTATCTTTATTTTTTTATATCAGAAATAAAGTATTTGTTGATTTGGGGCTGTACATAAAATATTGTTAATTTGGGCTTTTTACTTTTCAATCCCTCTGTATAGTTCCATTTGCAATTAACTTTTCAGGAAACATAGCTTTGATTTAATTTTTGGCAGCTCTCTTTATTCCCATCACTCTTGTCCACAGGAACAGCTTATTTTCCTGACCATTCATACCCTTCTATTTTTCACAGGATACCAAGTAAGTCTCAGTTCTTTTTGATCAGCTCGAAGTACCTTGCCTGAGACTTTGCTCTAGCTGGATACAGAAATTTAGAAACCTCTAATTCCTTCTGCTGAAGTTGTAATTCTTACCTGTTCACGAATCCCCATGACATGGTAAGAAAAATTACACAGCAAAAGACAGGACTTGATTTAGAAAATTGCTTTTAGTCCTATGTTCCTACTTCTAGTTTCCTACTATTGCTGCAAAATGTGAAATAAATAAAAATTTTCTTAAGAAAGGATGTTCTTTGATGTTTCATCTTTGTATACTTTCAAGCCTAATCAACAACAAACGAAATTCAATCTATGAACTGGATAGCAGCTAACAAGCAAGTTCGAAGTGAGGTCTGTGTGTCAGAAGGACAAATTAATTGTCTGTAGAATTGCCTTGTTAAGGTTTGGGGCTTGACGTGTTTCAATGATCTCAAACCCTAGGTGAGATTAGCAAAGCTTGGGAAGAAGGATGCACCTCTGAGGGCGGGCAAGGAATGCAAAATTTATGGGCCACAAGGACGTTTTGCAGAACCCCCAAGACAAGGAGGAAACTAATAAAGACAACTCAACAACAGTGTGGAATCAGCTCCAACTGGGTAAAAGGCAATTCTGGCAGGGGGAGACTGTGACCACAACCCACCGTCTTAAAAAACCACTAACCCAGAATAAGAGAATGGCTGAGCATGTGGACCAGTTATCATGAGAAGTGAGAAATGCATTAACCAATAGAAGGTCGAATACTAATTAACAAACACACACACAAAAAAAGTCAACAAAATGGAAAATGTGGAAATAATAATTTGAACTTGAGGATCAAGTAGCAAAAATAGAGGAAGTTACACAGAACAAGATCCAAGTACATGCTGAAGACTGTGTCCCAGAATGTAACAAATAACTAGAAAAAATAAAAAGGTGAATTTAAGATGTGAAGGCAGAAGAAACGTTTAATGATGAACTGTACTTCTAAATGCTTATAGAAAATATTCTATCATACACTTAAAATTAAAGCATTTTGAACTGCTAGCTGGGAAGATATAAACCACAGAAATTTATATATGAAGACCTGTTTTCAGCCAGCCTTGTTTCCGTAAGAGAAAAGAAGCAGGAAAAAATAAAGAAAGAAAAATAGGAATTAAACAAGAAGTTCTTGATGAATCCATCTGGAAATTAATTGTTACTTTAACTGATGTTTTCTTGGGTTTTTAAAAATATTTTCTACAAATTATAATCCAGGATTAGCAAATGTTAGATACTTACAGAGTAAGATATTGCTCCATACAGCCACACGGATCACCAGCAGCAGCAAGCCTTTTTTCTTCTACCGTTATACATGGTTTCAGTGTTATGTCAAAGTTTTTCCCTTTAAGAGCAGACTTAATAGTGCAAGACACCTCAATTATTTTGCCCAGCATTGTGGAGTTTTGTTCCATTCTTTTAAGCGAAGTATGTTAAAAAAACAGTAAAAAAAATTACTGCACACAACCAAGCTTGCCTGCCAAGAGTGAGGTCTACTTTAAAAAAAATAAAATCCTACAAAGTAACAGGATACCCACTCCCTTGCTGTTTTAACTTCCAGAAACAAATACTGTATGCAGATTTCAAAGGTCATTTCCCTCCAAAAACACTCTTATCAGCAGCCTCAATGAACAATGGCAAAGGCAAATACATTTCAGTCTTCTGTAATACAGTTAATTTTACAGTAAAAATATTTTCATCTTTTGATTATTAAGAAGTTTTAAGGAAATTTCAATCCTTAAATAAAATATCTCAAAATAGAAAGCATAAATGTAAGCTTTGCAGTCACCCTAGAGTTCGTGTTTCTATACTCATTAGTTATGCTGAGGTGACAGCTCCTCAATACACAGTCCTAGACAAATACTTTCTTTATCACTTATCTCCACTTGCCAGGGGCTCAGGAAAATGCAAGCAACCCCCAGCTGCATCAATACCTTTGCCTCTCACTGCTAAAGCTTTCAGAGATAATCTACCTTTACAGAGTGAGGTACATACTACAGATGATTGAAATATAAATTCTATTACTACAGGAGCAACACCAGGTTTAAAGAAGCCTAATCTGATAGTTGACAAATTATGTGGAGCTATATGAATCAGGAAAGTAAAGGTCCCAACAACAGCAGATGCAAAAGCCACCCAACTTCCGCCAGAGTATAAATATACAGTCTCAGCCATTTTTCCTAACAGTAAGAAGAGGTAAAATGACTTTCCAAGAGCAAAAAAAACCACAAAACCAAGAAGATTCCCACCTGTCTGCCCAGTGATATATTCTAAGAACAAAACAAGATTTCCCTTGAGATCCCAAGCCACAATCCAGTGTCTTAACATCTATTTCAATATAGGCTCACTGTCCTCAAAGGCTTCAAGCTGAAAGCACTGGTATAGTCTATAATTTGAAATATTATACTCATATGAAATGTTGAGTATGTACTATGATCTTTAGTATTTGTACAGCATCTACCATAAAAGGCAAGTCAATAATTAATATATTAAGAAAATCAGTTCCCAGCTGCCTTTGTAATCTTTACCACCACAGACTTGTATTCCTCAGTATTAGAATTTGAAAGCTAAAGGAGTGTAAATTAGAAATGCAAACTCATCACCTAACTTTCGTGGCAAGTATCACACATGACAGATCTACAATGACACAACATGACGGACGCTGCAAAACACATCCAAAATAATATGTTCTTCTTGAAACACTGGTTGAATGTTAAGCAAAGGTAGTAGTTTCTAACTTTCTTCTATATTTTTATATTTTACACTTGCAGCGTTGAAGATATATACACTACATTTTTATTTTCTACATGAAAACACTGCTTTCTTCATACCTTTGCACTATTTGTGGATACGATAAGGGCATAGATATCATAGGACCAGTGACAAACCTACGAGTCTGGATTAATCTTATAGATGTTATTATCAGAAAGCAAACAAAAAACACCAGTTAATCTTTTCTAGTTCTCATGTTCTTTCTTGTGCCCTCTATTCCCCTGCCACTAAAAAAGGAATAAGCCACAATCCTTGCAACTGGCCCAAGATAAAAGGGGATGGTGGGGGTAGGGGTGTGGTAACTGTGTGGAGTGTAAGGAACAAAAGAAAAGACCAAAAACAACCTTAGATCTTGAGTCACAAGATTATGCTTTAACAGCCTGGAGTTCTATGCCAGAAAACACTTTGATAACCTTACTTTGCACGTTGATTATGGCAAAGAGCATCCAAAGAAAAATTCTGAATATGCCATACTACTATCAGCGCACACTTCGTCACTAAAACTAGCATCTTGCTGAGATTAAGACTAGGATTACAGATTCCAGTGAGCAATGTTACCCACTTCTACAGAAAAAAAAGGTAGGTGTAGCTATACATCACTGAGGTTTAAACAGCTATGTCAGCAATAAATCTGCTCCTCTCCCTATTACTTTGTCTCTCCATAGGAACTATGACAAACTTCTAGTAATACTAAAATATTAATCCAGAATCTGCGGCATGTCACTTGTCGTTGCATCACCATGCTGTGAACAACTATTATTAAGAAAACACTTGCTCCACTCTGGTAAAATACGCATTTATTTTCTGTTGGTTTTAGCAACACCGTAAGATTAAACCCATCGATTTTCAAGTTTTGCTACAGTTCTGACATGCCAGTTACTGAAAGAAGTCACACACTAATCATGAGCCTTCTTTGTAATAAAGTAGAAGGTTCATGACTATCAAAACTGCAATTGAAACTCAACTAGCAATGCAACAACAGCCTTGAGAACAGCTGTAATCCCCTCAAGGAAAGGAGAGTGAATTCTAAACAAATAAACCCTAGTGAGACAGACGGTCTTCATATATAAGTACAGCACTATTGCACTGCAAGGCAAGATACAGGAAACGGCAGACAAATCCACCACTGGGGAGGAAGCAAGCTTCACCAGTTTTAATATTATGGAACAAAGCTCGTATAGAACAGAAGTTACAAACGTCTCACTCAGTTGAGTTTTAACAATGCATTTCTTGTTTCAAATTTTCCATCCACTGCACAATTTCAGTTATACAATATCAATTGCACTGTTCTTGCATTCAGGAGACTTCGGTTGGCAGGACATAGTTTTAATGACAGCATACTAAAATTGTTTTTTTTTGGCCTTCAACATAAAATTCAAAATAGTGTGAACGTTACCAAGTTTGAAGCAGAAAATGACAGAGCAGTGTAACCTTTGCTCTTGGCACCTGAGTAGCAATGAAGTCCTAGGGAATGTCCCCCATTTCTTGAAAAAATTAATTTTTTTCTTGACATTTTACTGGCACTGCAAAATCCTTAAAATAAATTGGTTTATTCTAGTTCATGCAATTGTATAAACTCTAAACAAGTTTGAATTTAACATTTAAAGAAGAATTGCAAATTGATTTCAGACCCATAAAACACAGAAGCTTAACTAGCAGCAAATACATGCTGCAATTTGGGTTTATTTTGTTGATTTAGAGTTTTCTTCTAGCAGGAAATTAAGAAATCTGAATTCCACTGTGTTTTGGTCTATGCTACAAACTGTTCGAATGACATCTTGTGGTGCTGTTCAGTACTGCCACCCTCTTCCATTATAACACTATTTATTTTTAATTCACAACATAGAATTCAACTGCTATTCAACTGCTAATTCAAGGAGGCCTTGAACCACATGGCTATGAGTGTAGCTGTTCTATGGTTTAAACAGAAATTGAGATAAAAATTTGTTTATTTTTCAGCCACTCCTAATTTTTCAATCTGAAAAAGAAGCACATTACGCAAAAAGCAAGCTCAATAGTTTTAAAGGGTAGACTAGAGGCAAACCAGGATAACTACAGTATCCTGTAAGGATGAGAACCACAGAAAACAAAACCAGTTATAGTCTGACCAGAAGCATAATTTAACTCATTTAATTGTTACTTTGCCATTGATTTCTCAAAGCACTTGCAATCTGGATAGTTAGTTATAGTCTTTCCTTCTCGTGGAGGAAACAGGAAAGTATAAAGTTAAAAGCTAAATAAAGCATCTCCCAGTTCTCTGTTGTGAATAGATAGTACCTGAGCAATACTTGAGCAACTCAGTGCATCAAAACGTCTAAGTTTCTGCTATTACCACCATCAAGGCAGATATGTCAACTACCTATATTTCAAAAGCTCTAACCAGATGGCAGCTAGTATGATAAAGCAGTTTGAAATCCCTTCTGGATCAGACTGTGATTTGAGCTAAGATTATCTGTTGTCAGTAAAATAGCTACAGACACAATTTCACCCAGCAACAAGAAATGTTGTCTGAAAGGATGAAAAGATTCAGTCGTGCAATTGCACTGCATATAACCATTTCTGATAGTACCCACACCACCAATACTGCAGGGAAACTTCTGCCACAGAGAAATCCTCCTCAGTGGAAGACAGTTTTCTAAAGGCTGAAAGAGTGTCATTGACTGTGATGCTGCCACTTAAAAGGTTGCATCAACTTAGAGCCTATCTTGAGGCTAGTGCTCAGAATATGCAGACATTTGTAGATCACTTTGAAGCACTTGATAGTTGTGAAGGGATTATAAGAAAATGAGAAGAAGTATCACAGAATATTCTCAGCTGGAACAGACCCACAAGGATCATTGAGTCCAACTCCTAATGTTTCCAGCTTTCCCAAAAATGGTGGGAAAAGCCTTATTAGAAAGATACTATCACAGAGGTGGTGTTGCCAGAACCTATGCAGTGCTAGTATATTTACATGTATGTCCAGGTTTCAGAAACACTGTTTAACAGCATTATAATACTGATCGTGTTCTGGCAGAATGCCAAAACCATTCTGGTTTCCTCCAAGTATCAAAACTACCAAGGGGCAGCACAGACAAGGATAGCCTTGAAAAAAAGCAGAACTAAAAACGTGGAATTTCAGCCTTGTAAGTTTACTTAATACCATTTATTATAAATAAACCAAACAGTTAATTTAATACCATTCAGGATGCAGATCAAAGCAAATGTCTAAGGCAAATACATGACAACGCAGAAAATACGCAGAAACCATAGTGAAGACCTTAAACTGTAAAACTTGCCTTTCTGAGCAAATAAAAAGCCCCAAAAAATACAGTGACTACATTACAGAGAGCCACAGCAAATCAACAGTTCATTGCTTGCTTCCTCATACGTGCCAAGTTCATGGCAATAAGAACATATTCACTGTGTATCACTTCCCATCAGATCTGACAGATTTCAGCTGGAGAAGTGTTCTGCAATAGTATGCCCACATTTGTACACTGCATTTAGTTCCTGTCCTTGTACTGACTAGAGGGCTCAGATTTTATCTTGTAGACTCATCAGTTCATCCAAACCATTCATCTTCGCTCAGTTGTACATCCTACTGAAACTGGCATATCACCATATTGGTGGGCATAGGGCCATTTTAACAGATGGAGAATGAAAGTAGTTGTGCCAACGAGCTAGTGGATGCATCAAGTTTGAATATTAGAGCTGGAGTCTCCTCCAAGAATTTCACAAATGGCAATCTATGTACAATCTCTCCATGACTGGTTGAACAGAATATGCCAACACAAAACTAGATCAATTTAAGACTCCAAGAACACCTCTGGCAGCTGTTGAAAGCAAGTTTTTAGCTCCGATGGGTTTGGAAAAGTCTTCTGCACAGAGAATTGGGGAATGAGTATCTTAATGAAATCACCACCTTCAGCTCTCTGCAAAACAGGCTTGCAAATCTCTGCAAAGAAAAATGAGTTTGCAGCACTGCCGAGCTTTCTGACGAATGATTCAACAAAACATGTAAGCCAGACCCGCAACAAAAAAATCTAATAAATTACAAACGTATTTTGCTTGGCAGAAATACAGTTTAAAGACGCAAATCAGTAAATTTGAAAATGTGTGTTATAAATTTTGCCATCCGCTTCAATACCATACTTAACAATTGACATCTACTGATGTTACTTCTATGGTTCACCTCTAAGTTTTTACATTTTATCAGATAAAGCAATAACTGGTTTTATTGCTGAAATTGTACATTTCCAAGTACCAAACATTATTATATTTTAATTTTACATGCAGGCAAGATTTGTTTAAAATGCAATTAATATAGATGAAAATCCTCAGTCCACCTGCAATTAACTGTAGGCAGTTAAAGCTGTACCCTAATATATGCAATTAACAGGGATTCTGTGTTTCTAATTAGCTCTCCAGGTACTCTTACATGTTGTAAGGTGGCTAGAATTTTCACTCCTCCACTTAGAGCAATAATAATGCAATAAAGCATAATGTAACCATAAAAATATTCCATTAACTTAGGTGATGTGAATCACACAGTATTTCTCTACACTAAATAGGAGATTTTGAGACTCCAACTAGGCAGTGCTTACTGCATGGAGTCCATCAATCTAGAACACGGAGAATTAGCTTGAGGACCACTTGCTGGATGCAGCTTGTCCGCAAGATTCACATAACCCATTGGCTCTTACAAATTTTCTGCTGAAAACTTCTGTTATGGGCAAAGACTTCTCTGCAGACTGTTTCCATTACTCTGGGGACTAGAATCTGACTCTTTTTCTTCTTTTTGGAACACGTGGGACATGTGACTATCTAGGATACAACCAGTTCAAAGACAGGAAGCAAACTACCAACCCGGACACATTAACAGATTCTTAAAACATAAATATACAAGTTGTATAAAGGAATACCATACATGCCAGTTCATGTGACAAGTATGAAAGAGGAAGAGAGAAAGAAGAGCAACATGCATCTCCAATCATGCAATTTCCACACAAGAAGGTTCAGACTGACTCATCTCAGGTATATAAGATCTTTCAATTATTTTGTTATTGAGATGCTTAAGAGAATGAATGCAAAAATTCCATTCTCTGAACACCAGATCCCCCTTCATTCATCTAACTAACCAAAGGCTTTAAAAGCAATACATACAAAACCACAAGTTTTATTTGCCTCTTTAGTCAGGATTAAATACTCACAGAAAAAGCTAGCACCAGTATAATACATTTGTTATGAAATCTCTTATTCAAGAACAGTTTCAGTTTAAGGAATCAGTTTCTTATGTACATGTTGTAATACTACAGAGAGACTAGAAAACTCTCTTCCTTTCCTCCTCTCTTTTGTCCCGAACAGGTACAGTCATCTCACAGAAGCAGACCACAGTTGCATTTTTATGTTTTCTATTTTCTTTCTCTGCAGTGGATACATACAGTGTGTTATCTAATGAGATAGAATGTTTGCACATGGTGTGTGCAACATAATGCACTTTGCTTATATTAAGATAAAATATCATGAAATAAACAGTTATCTTTAAATCTTCTAACAGTAAAACTTTACATTTTGTCAGAATTAAGATGTCACCAGGACAGAAATTTTGAGGAACCAAGATATTTTTAATACTGATAGCACATGTTTGAACCAAACCACAGCACAAGCACGTACCGAAAATACGGTGTTCACTAATTGAATTGAAATTATATTTGTAATTGAAAGTTAGTGGATAGGTCATTGAATGCTAAAGGTAAAAAAGGCAGCTTTAGCAGGAGAATGACACATAGGCTTTTACACCGAGGGATGCTCAGAGCTTTTTGATGAGACGAACTTCAGCAGAGTAGTCCTACCAAAATGTGAGAAACGAAACAGGACAAAAAATTTATATTAGACCAACTCTGGATTTCAGATTTAAGTCCACCAATACTTATTTGTGCCTCTGTGTGCCACTGTGTGGGCCCTTCTGTCACAAGATCGGAGACATCTTATCCTAACAACTTCACTATCTTCATCACCATTCTGGCTTACTTCTTCATGACAAACTGGAGAAGACAGACAACACAAAGAAAAGAGACTGGAACTTTTTCAATAAAGTGTTATCTTGATACTTATACATTAACTACATTAAATTTTTCTGATTGACTGGCAGCAGGCAAGTGCAGGGTTCTAGTCCAGCTGTTACTGTAATAATATTCTGGGCCACAAATTATATATGTATCCCTCTGCTGAGAAGGAGTATTTCTTATATCATCAGTAGACCTAAGGAAGAATCCCCCTTCCTCAACAACAAAAAAAGTTTGCCAAGCACTGAAACAACATAATAATATCAGACATATCAGCATTGATGAGAGACAATCTAGAGAGATCAGCAAACAACCTTTATAAAACTCTAAAAGTAATTTTCATTTCACCAGTGGAATACTTCACTAAACCCACGCCTTCATGCACAAGATGCAAGGACACATATTGCACTTCTCTGTATTCTCTTATACTGCCTTCTGATGAGCAAGTTTTGCACTATTACTGCAGTGAACT